CAACAAGTACGCAAATTATTACTGTAACATGGGAGCTCACATGACATAATACAGTTCTATTTAGTGGCGGAGGTGTTAGGTATCTTGGAGCTTGTTAATAAATTTCAGCAACCGTTGCTGAACGTAAAGGGTAGCCTGAATCATTACTTAACATGTTAATGATGTCTTTCTGCATGAACTTCATGCTGAAATATTTGTATGGATTCTGTGATCGGTATTGGTAAAATTACTGATTTGTTTATCAGCTGTTTACCTTCGCTGAGGTTTGCTTTTTGGCCAATAGCCTGTTATTGCCCTTATTAGACTAAGTGCTATCTTTGAAACATGGTCGAGTAGGTAATCCTTGTTTTCATGCAAGTTGCATATTTCTGGCAGCTAGTCACTGTTGGGAAAAATTTTCGATTCTCTACCGCTTATTTACGAGCATTAGCGCAGATGAATATGTCATGCAGGTTATTTAAGACTTCACCTGATAGAAAGTACAAACGGCAAAACAACTACAGAGCAGAACTAATTTTAAACTCCGGTGGTCCAGTACAGTCACAGTAGTTTTGACTCGTGTATCGGAAGATTTCTGAATCCCATCGTACCACGTTTAGCCGAAGTTCGGTGCCATTTTGTGGTTGTCTTTCTCTGTGTACTTTATATAAGTAAACTCTTACTTGAATCGTTGCTCTGCAGATGCAGCAGCAGGTTACTTCAGTGGGTTATATATTGTATTTTCTCGAACAACTCTGTAATGCTATTTTCTCAAGGTCTTCTAATGCAAAAAGAACTCAGCAGAGAAGTTAGATGCTTCCTGACAAACCCGTCTACTGTTTGCCTAAGCAGAGCGTCACTGGTTTGTGATGCACGCTGTATTCTCAGCTTTTAAATAATTTTCCTGTAAGGCACCAATTACCACATCGTAGAAAAACATTTTTCTCCTAAATGGAATCTACCTCTACCATACATGTTGGTCTCCTGTTATACTTCTGCCGTGTTTGAGCTCCAACATGAGAAGCTCATGGGCTGGTGGAACAGTGCGTAAGAGATCGGCTTCGAACTCGAACCGTTAAAATGCAGAATTCGATTCTCGCGGCATTCTATCTTTGTCTTTACCAAGAATAACATCGGGAAAGGAATTTACCAAGCGTTGCTTCAGACCGGGGTTATTCGGTCGGTAGAGCATCGGACTTATAACCGACAGGTACTGTGCTCCACTGAGGGTTACTCAACTTTCTTTTTCCAGCGTTCACGATCGATGCTACTCCGTTAAATGGGAGGGAAGAAAACAGGTAAGTACAGACTATGCTTCTCACGTAACTGCTATCGATTCTGCCGTTTAAAAATGAGGCATTCCTGGCTGGTCATGGAAATGGATATCAGCTCCATAATTACAAGTGAACTAATGGGAGCTAGAATTGACCCCGTCATGTAAATGTATAAAATAACATCATTCCAACGGTTACAAATACCATCATTTTCTTCCTTAGGCTGAAAAAAAGTTTATGCCCCATCAACCTGTCTAGCAAAATCAGCCTCCTCAGCCTAATTTTGAAATATTCGAAGATCAGTTCTTTCCGGAAGTGAACAGTCATTGCTATCGTGGCCCTCCTATTTAGTCCTCATGGTGCGTTGAAGCCAGTGCTGCTATGCAGTTGAGCTGGTGTTCTAGCTCATTCGTTAAAACAGTCGCTTTCGTGCCATAAAACAGCACTAACCTGACAGAAGCAATGAAAGGCTAATTTTTGTGCGAAGAGTAACTCCTTTCTCAGCCCAAATATAAAACAGGTTTTCGAGAACACTCAACGTTAAGACAGTTTTCCTAATTACCTCCTTCGATTGGATGGTTCGATCGCTGGAAATGAGCCGAAATAGTTAAATTAGTCAACCTCTTGAAACGCATCGCCTCCCTGTTCCGCAGGTAGATAAGCTGTACCCCATAGGTTCCTAGTGATTGTTGACTTTCGAGCGTCGTGAAAAATGCATTTTCTCGTTTCTCGTTGCTATGTTGCATTCTTAAGTCATCAGGTGACTGAACCTTATTCGCGTACCATTCATCAGAACAGTACCATCTGTGTAATCCAGATCAGCAAGACATATGGCCGAATACTTTGAAGTGCTGCTTACTTCTGAAATGGCACATTCGTTTTTTGCCCTGTGTCAGCACTGTTTCAAACAAGAAACTCGAGAACAATACTGAATAGCACTGCCATAACGGAGAACCATTCGGCTGTCTGTCTTTCGAATCTGACAATCGCATATGATTCCTGCATATATCTCTTTCAAAATGAAAACGATGTACTCAGCTGTCCCAAAGTATTTCAAGATTTTTCACATTGTCTGACGACGTAGTGAATCAAACAGCAGTAAAGTCGAG